GAAAAAAGTGGTTAGAGGTGATGAAACAAATGTGGCCAAATCCTCGAAGCGGGCGGGGTTGGCACCAGAGTGGGCGGGACTTAGATCAAAATTTCATGAGTCTGTTCACAAACGTTCTAGAATGCGGGAAAAAAGTGAGTAGAGGTCAGCAAAGGGAATAAAGTAAACCATTATTGATGGGCGAGGCATGCACGAATGTGGACGGAGTTATCCACAGAAAAATATAACTCGGTTCCATGGAGTCTTGGAGAACAGGGAAAAGATGCATTGAGTCTGGAAAATGAAGACAAATCGAGTCCTATACCAGGGAGGAACGTGCGCTTGAAAACTTGGAGCGAAATTTCAAAACCGAGTTGAATAAGCCGGACATAAATTGAGTTACTCAGACACTTAGAACCTAATGAGGTTTGTTCATGGCGGATGGGGCGCGCGTTGGGTGTTTGTGTTTGGTCGGGAATGAATAACTACTGTTCTCATCTACCGAAGCCTCCAAATTTGAAAAAAGTGCAGGCGTAGAGGCCATTTCAACACGAGCAGGAGGGGAGCCCTTCTTCAGCCGGGCGAGTCGACTGGTAGCTCCATATCCTGTGGACCTAAATAGTTCATATTTGGTAGGATTACAGTTCTTCGTATCAACAATGAAAATTCGGCAAGAAAAAAAATTTTAATAAGTGATGTGGGATATGACGGGATCATAGGTACTCGGTGACAGGGGCCGATAATAAACGATAAGAAAATAAGAGGGGCTAGGTGAGCAAGAGCCACCTAACAATCAAAATCTAACGCCTTTGGTACGTACTACGCAGCTTTGACCGTTCAGTATGTTCCATTCGATAAGACGGGATGGTAGAGTAGGGTGACAAAAGTGAGTGGTAAGGGCAGTGATAGAGACCGTTAGAGGTTTTACGATGAGCAGATAAGAAATTGGTTCATTTCTTGCTATCGGATTACGACCGCTACCCACCTAGGTTTGTATCCCAACGAAGGATCCTCTTCGTTCGGTATCATTTGCGGCATAACTTAACCGACCGCCATTTATCTGGAGACTACCGTCCAAGGCTTTGGTTGCTTAACAGTTGAACCTTAACTGAGTATTGGTTTTTACAAAAGAGAGCAAGAGATCGAGACTTCCAAGCAAAGGCGTGAGACTGAATACCACTTGCACTGCTTGTTAGACCTGTTTCGAACTTCGTGTACAGGAAAATATTTGTTTCAAAGGAGTGGAGAGTTAGCTGATTACAACAACTTTGCCGACGAAAGGTGGAAGCCCGGCGTTGGCCTTGCGAACCGAGTGGTAAAGTTTGATCAAGATCAAATGCCAGACAAAGTAGTTACAATAATTGTGTTGTAGTAATTAAAGTTCTGGTGATTGAATGGTCACATTCTTCACTTACTACTATATTAGTGATGTTAATAAGTGATGGATGATTCTAGTTCGATTGAGAGGACGTCAAAGACACAGTTCACGATAATTTTAAGGTACTTTGGTTAGAGGGATACTTTAATGAGGTGAAAAATGGAAGTGAGGTGCACAATAGTACGAAAGTAACGAAAATATCGCAAAAATCGTCGGATTGAAAGGATTTCTAGAAGGTTGGATGAGAAACCTTTTCGAAAGTGGTGAAAATATGAGTTGTACGAAACTAACATGATGGAAAGGGTGTTAACACGAGCAATTTCAATGTAATCGCTTGAAGAGCTGAGGACATCAAGCCAAAAACACCGAAAACTGCCCTTCACTGTCCCCTTAAGTCACAACTATTTGTTTGAAATTTTCAATAATGATGCCCCTTATGAATGGTACAGCCTCTACAATGACGTTTGAACCTGTTCACCACTGGGTGTGACATACAGTAGATACAGCTATTGTGCGCTTGTTACGCCATCTGGGCCGTTTTTCGATCTGACAGCGCCATACGACGACGTAGTCGGTAGTCATTATCCTAGAGAGATGTCTCTGAAATTAATTCTACTGCGAACTAATCGTTTAATGTGAACAACGAAGCTCCTCCATATCCCAATCGGGAATACGAATGATACAATAATGGAGATAAAATTTTTAGAACATCGCGGAGGTCCAAGGCAACTTTTGAGATCGGCGAAGCCTACAGTACGCAAAAAGATAGACATAATTCGAGAGAAACACTTGAAGTCAGAGACACTCCAGGAACCCGACACGTTCGCTCCAGAGATTGAAAAACAGGGAAAACCGCTAATAGTACCGCTCAAATCAGAAGACGTCAAAAAGCAGTCCACGTCTGAAAAGTTAGGAGAGACGTCTTTGACAGAAGCAGCGCAGCTAAGTAAGTTGACGCTAACCGAACATGATGAGCGAGTTTCGAGAACCAAGAAGCTTGAAGAGCTCAAACAACAGTCACAAGCATCGAGGCAGCATTTAGGGATAAAAAAGCCAGCAGAAGAATTGAAAGATACAACAAGGTTGACGCAACTGACCTACACATCGGAACCAGAGAAGTCGACAGAACTAACCAAAACACGACGGAAGCGCACGGAGCTGGAAGAAAGGCAATCAGAGGAATTAGAACAAACTTCGTTGCAATTGCCAGGAACAGAGCCCTCGAGAGTGGCTAGGGAACGGTTCGAAGCTGGAGAGAAGTCGATGCCCGTGACTATTCCTTAATTTATCCATCGATTCTTCTTACGCATTCTACTCTCGTTTGATTGGCATGATGATCGACTGTACTTTCAGATTAAATCTACACAGACGACGCAATCCTCACCTTGCAGCGTAAGAATTTTTCTGGCTCACACTCTTACTGAATCTGCTCAGAATGATTATTTTTAGAAAGGACGTGCTCGCAGGCAGATTGTCACAGTAAGTCTATTGGATTCGATTAGTCGATGTAATGATGCCGTGTTTTCGAACTTACTTTCTTTCAGAGCAGAGAGATTGTAGAGCGGCGTATCCTCGAACGCGTATTGACGGCATGTTTTTTGAGTATTTTTATTCGATCGGACAAAACTGACCCTTTTAGCTTATATCCTTCTTCCTTCTTATATATAAAGCAGTAACTTGGTTTGTCGGTTTGTCAGTATGTCGGTATGTCGGTATGTCGGTATGTCGGTATGTCCGTCCGGGTTGCTTTGTGATTATGATAAACATAGTGGTATGAGAGACTTATCCTACTTTATATAATTCGCGAAGTGTGTCTGTTGCTGAGTCGGTGTGTTTATGTGTGTGTGTGTGTTTGTTTGTTTGTGTGTGTGTCGGTGTGTGTGCCTGACCGGAAATTCATAACTCCTGTGCCCGTGGATCTAGAGAATTCAAACTTGGTAGGAGTAAAGGGGGCAGGATGGGAACACCCTTGGTAAGTGGCAGGACCGGACTCCGATCACGGGAAGCGAGGCGTGCACGATAAAAATCTTAGGACACAAATCCATAACTCCTGTCCCCGTGGACCTGGAGCATTCAAACTTGATAGGAGCACGGGCGGCAGGATGGGAACATTTATCGTAAGTGGGAGGACCGGACCTCGCTCATAGAAGGCGAGGTTACGCCAAAATTTCCAGTTTGGCTCTAGGGCGTTCAAACTTGATAGGAGGCAGGCGGCAGTATGGGAGCACTTATGATGAGTAGTAGGGCCGGACTCCGCCCCCTAGGGACGGGTTTCCGCGAAATAAATGAGTGGAAATCCATAACTCCTGATCCCGTGGACTTGGAGAGCAAAATCAGTAGGATGAGGCAGGATGGGAACACTGACAATAGAATAGGCCTTAGAGAAGAAGATCCACTCACCAATCACCTCCTAGCGCCTTTGTTATTTACAATCTAGCTTTGACTTTTTGATATGTTTCATTCGACAAGAAGGATAAGTGGTGTGATTATAAGGAGATGAATTTGGTTCACTTCTTGCTATCAGATTACGACCGCTACCCAACATAGTTTGCGACTAAGTGAAAGATCACGGTTTCTCTTTGCTTTGTTATCATTCTTAGCAAAATTTATCCGACCGCTAATAATGTTGGATTCACAGTTGATGTATCCGTAGAGAAAAGGAGGTACATTTTTTAAGGCATTTGATAGTCTATACTCTCGCTCAGCGAAACAGCGAAATAACCTAGAAAAAAGGGGCATTTCATTAGTTTGATGTTTTTCGGGCGAAGTCCCTTTGCCCCAAGAAGGAGGAGAGCCCTTGATGATGGCATTGAGGAACATTGATGGTAGCTAACATAGTAGCCTCAGCCGCGGTGAAGTCTCTGAATACTATTTTTCTCCGAATAATAGCCTTTGTCATATTATACGATGTTCTATTCGGACCCAGCGAAGATGGCTTACAGGAGAAATCGCTCCCAATTCGGAGCTGATTGTTAGGGTGTAGAGCTTTCTAAGAAAAAGGAAAATCCGAATTATTATTTACGCATAGCAATTTTCTCACAGGAAGGAGGAACGCCCGGCTACGCTGGGCGAACCTGTAAGGAGGAGAGCCTGGCGTTAGCCGGCCGATCCGACTGGTTGGTATTATATTGTAGTACTAACTATGCAGTCTTCCTCTAACGCAATCTCCGACATATTCAGGAGGAGGAACCAGAAACGGCAATAAATGAACCACCGTCTGTGAAAGCACCTGTGACAGCCTCGCAAGAAGGGGTTCATGCGGTTAAGAAGACGGTAATAGTAGTCACCACCTTGCTTTGTTCTATACAACGAGTCATGAGTTTTGCTTGAAACGCTTCACATTTCGTAATCCGAATTAAAAATGCTGCTTTGCCTTTTTTCAATGTTCCACTGGTAAGTTAATGGAACGAATTATCATCCATCACTTGGGAGAGGTAAACAGAGTGTTCTATAGACTCAGTAGTGCATCAAAATCATTAACTGCTCTTAAGAATTCGTAGAATACAAGTTCCAGATGATTCCAAGTTGTAGGAAAAACTCAGTTTAAAGCTCTCTTTCATAGCTGATTTCTTGAGGCCAAACTTCGAAACGACCTTTGTATATGAAGATCAATGATTAACAGAATTGGGTCCTGAACAAAAGTTGTCAGGTGTATGTCATGCACACACACCCACACACACATACACACGCACACATATGCACATATACATATGCGGACATACACGCGTACGCACCTACACACATACACATACACATATACACACGAAGACACACGAATACACGTAGGAATATAAACACAGAAACACCGAGAAACATACACCGTCACACAAACACCGACTAACACTGACACACACGCATTCCCACATTTTCACACACACATACGAGGGTTGCCTTTTATATTTCGGGATTGAGCAAACCTAGTGTTGCAATCTGGCAACTGACAGCTCTATCGTGAAGTTTGACATTTTTGAGGTTACACTTACTCAGAACGTTTCGACTTATGAGCGCTCCTTGAGTTGTTTACACTAACTTAAAAATTTACTCAGGCCCTTAACGCCCCCACCCCCCACTTGACCGAACCTACTTCCCGCTTAACCTCCCCCTCCCCCCTTGGCGATGAAACTCCATCAAGGACGAGTGCTTATCGAATTCTTGGTGAATTCAACCGAGATCGTAGTTCACTCCAAGACGAATTTCCTGGAATTCTCCAAAATCAGTTGTTGTTCCGATGCTGTGCGCAAACTAGTACTGCGAGATCGTCATGTGACCTATCGTGGGATTGGGACAACCTTAGGCATTTGAGGAACAAGCATACATTCAATATTGTATGAACACTTGACTGTAGGAAAATTTGATCCCACAAAATTTGTCAGTCCCTCAAAAAAGGCTCGTGTCGATTGGTCGGAAGAATTGCTCAAAAAATACGGTCGCGGTGCTTCGAAACACGTTTGTGACATCGAGACAGGTGATAGATCATAGGTTTATGCGTATGAGCCCGAAAGTAAATAGCAGTCGACCGTATGGGTATTTCAAGGTGAGCCAAATCCAACAAAAGCTGTCTGCACACGAAGCACTTCCAAGCAAGTGGTCGCCTTTTTTTGGAAAATTTGGACATGTCGCAGCCCTACAATTAGAACACGTAGAACAGTCAGTTCTGAGTGGCATAAAACATTTGTTTGCTGGTTGTCTTCCAATAAATCAGAAAAGTCAACTGCCGGTTACGGATCACTCTTCACCGCGACAATGTGAGCTCCCACACATCGGCTCAAACAACTTCATTTTTGAGCACTCAAAACAACGATTTGATGGGTCGTCAGCCATATAGTCCCCGGTTGACTTCTTCTTATCCCGTACAAAAAATAAAATGAGAGGTCACCGTTTTCGACACCTGGAAAAGCCGTTGATACGTTCAGAGTGCATGTTTTAGAGTTACCTCAATCAGAGTAGCAAAAGTGCTTCGACAATTGGGTCGAAAGCATGCAGAGGTATAGATCTTGATGGGGAATATTTTTAAAGACAGTCAAGCGATTTTCAATGATTAACATTTATTTTTAATTTCTAATCCCGAAATATAGAAGGCAACCTACGTACATATGCATACCCGCACATACACATACATACATAATATATCACAATCACATACATACACATACGTATACATCTTCACATACGCACATAACCCATAAACACCAGAAACACAAACACACACAAAACACCACAAATACACACAAAGAACGCACACATAATCTTCCGTCCGATTCGAGTTGTAAAGCTTTCGTACGAATCGATCATGGCCAGGTGCGTATTGACGAAGACACCAACGCTACCAACGCTTCTGCTATCGTATGTTCGAAGGAACGTGTATTGACGCGTGAATCGCACCACACCGCCAAGGAACAGTTCTTCTCCAGTCTCAAATACAGCGTGCAGCGGGCGATGTCTTCTCGTCTAGGTCAGTCCGATGACGTCGTACTTGATCTTCCTAGCTTGTATCATCAGGTCTTCTATACACGCTTCCGATGCAATCGTCCGTGCGCTGGGAGCACAGATGGTCATCTCAGTCCTTCTCCTTTGGTCAGCCTATTTTGGCTTTGAGATTTTAGCAGCCTGATATTCCAAATAGCATGAACTCAGAATCAACTGAAAATACAGATGAAGGTCCTTCTAGAATCTCCTTCCTTTTTGTCATGTCTAAATTGTACGAGCGGCAACGCCGAACACAATGGGAAAAACGCACATAAGGTGCGAATAAGTGCAGACGTC